TTTCTACAGCCTCTGACACAAGAGCGACCACTCCTTTATCTTTCCCACTCATGTTTTTGCCTCCATCAGTTGTAATACATTTCAAGTTTTTCCATCGAAGGTTCTTTTGATTAATGGCCATTTCAACTCCTTTAAAAATATCTGTACCAGTAGTTGTGCCATGAATACTATACATATAAAGAAGTTCTTCATGCACTTCATAGCTTTTATCTACTCCTCGAATATAAATCAACACTTGAGTAGTATCTGACAGATCTGTTGACTCATCCAAGGACAAAGAAAACCACTCAACATGTCCATTTTTGTCTAACAGTCGAGAGGATATATTTTCAGCGATGTTTTCTACCCTTCGAGCCACAGTGTTTGCTGACATACTGACAGTTTTTAATAAATTTACCTTTTCAGGGCACATTTCTTCGGCTACTGCAATTATGCATTCTTTGATCATTTCTCCATCGGTGAATGGTTTTCCACGTTTTGCACTTTCAAGAGCCACACGAGAGGTGGCACGAGTTGCAGCCTCTTGTTCAGTTTTGAGTTTTGTAAATGAAGATTGCTGTGATTTCAATCCCCGCTTTATAGCTTCGAATTTTTCTGTCCGCAAACTTCCTGTATATTTTGAGTAATTTTGAAAATGTTTTGCTTCATAATGACGTTTAATGTTATATTCTTTGAGAATGGCTATGCTTTCATTGCAAATCAAAGATAGCGCCTTGTTACTGGACTCAATTACGAAATACTGAATGTTCCACTGATCTTTGAATTTTCTGCATTCACTATCAATTTTTCGCTTCTTTTCCATACTACTAAATCACACACAAAAGCAACAATTCAAATCAAAATACTGTTACAAAGATGTCTTAAACTTAAACACGCACAAACACGTTTTAAGGAGGTACGCACTATTTTATTTCACAACAGTGTCATAGGAACTGACTTGTGGTTGCGCCACTAGCCTTCTTATATATTCCAATTACTGCCATCTAGAAGTGAGTGGAAGACACCAGAACTTTCACGAACCAACGAGATTATTCTGTACATGCTATTAGCGCCATCTGTTAGCGATAGAAGGTACTACCTATTTCCGCTTGTGTCCACCAGATGTCGTGTCACGTTACACCTCATGGCTCGTACTCTACGACTAATCTAGAAATTACAGATAATGACAGGAAAATTAATAATATGCAGTGCTGCCGTTTTGCGGACTTTAGTCCGACTTGCAGCCTTTTTTAAACGTTGCGTACTTTTTCGGACTTTTTTTTTCATCAGTGGACTATTTCACTTTTTACCACCGGCAACAATGATAATATGGTTTTGGCCCTCGGAACTTACTGGAGTAATCAGTATGGCCCTAAGGCTGGAAAGTTTGGAGTCCCCTGAAATAAAACATAGCACAGTAACAATACATTATTACAGACATATGAAGAAAGGTTTCTACTTTCAGTATATTTTATTTTGGCTCTTTATACACATCATTCTTTTGTTCTTGCTATAAATTTCTTTTCCCCTAGCACTTCAGTGGATTTAAATTTGAACTTCTTTTTAAGGATCCAAGATAGGATAAGGCAAGGATAGGACAGATTGTTGATCAAATAAAACATAGCACAGTAACAATACATTATTCATTATTACAGACATACGAAGAAAGGTTTTACTTTCAGTCTATTTTATTTTGGCTCTTTATACACATCATTATTTTGTTCTTGCTATAAATTTCTTTTCCCCTAGCACTTCAGTGGATTTAAATTTGAACTTCTTCTTAAGGATCCAAGATAGGACAAGGCTCTTTCTTCAAGTTTTATCAAACTGGCCCTAGAAATTGCTATCACTCTTTATCCATCATCTTTTATTTTTTGTTTAAAAAAAATTGTAATAAATTTTTCAGAAATCAAGTTGATGACATTTATACAATAACTGACTCTACAATTAGGAGAATTTTAGAAACCACAACAATGTTAAGTGCAGGTTTTTAACATCTGATTACTACAGTACAAATTCAGTGACAAGAGCATGAGCAGGGTTTATGAGCAGGAACATGAACACAAATAACAAGGCTTGGTAATTCATATCGACAACTGTAAAACAGATAGGAGTATGACAGTTCATTGTATCACCTAGATAACACTTCCTAAGATTCGAAGTTCTAAATTATTTCTTCACTACGAGTTTTCACAGAGTACTAAGTTCAATGTCCATGATTAAAATATCAGATGTCTTTTCTTAGCAGACTCTGGCAGAGCAGAGGGAGTAACAAGACCAGCTATTATAGCAAATATTAATCCACTCTAGCTTATGCAAGTAGCATAAACTCTCCTCATATCTAAGAGGGAAATGTGTGAGAGAGAAAGAGTCAAGAAATACCTGGCTTTTATCCACAACTTAATTTTCATATACTTGATGCCAACAACTAATGAATATGAATTATTAGAACTTATTTAAAAATAATTCTACACAAAATTTTAATAATTATTTATTATTTTTATTATTTTATTTAATAAAAGTTTAAAAAAATTAAATTGCAAAGTGCACACATTTTATAGATTGCAATTTTATGTGGCCAAAATAGAAAATCTGAGTAAATCAGCCAAATAGTTCCCAAAAATCGAATTTTAAACACTGGAGACTCCTTTGAGAATATTAGAGTGAAACTTAAATCAATGATTTTTCCCTCCTCAACCCTTGTTTGTTGAATGGTTTATTGAGTCATAAATTTCTTGATAAGAGATCTTTCCTGAAAAATGCAGAACTCCTATTTAATGTAAGACAAAAGGTTTGTCTACTGTAAACTTGTTTTCCTTCTTTAGTAATACTTTTAGAGAGAGAACTTTAACCTCAAGGGAAGTTAACCTAAGATTATATAATTTTAAAAACCTATAAATGTATTTTTCAAACAAACAATATTTCATGTCATTATAAAACCGGCGTTGAACAGTCAAACCAATTCTGGTTTTACACATATCATGTTCAACTCCCCAGCCTTGTAATTTTGAAACCAATCTAGAAGACAAGGGAGCTCCTAGATCAAATTCTGGGACCAACTAGCCTTCGTGGAGGAATTTTTGATAGAACTAACCAGCCTTTGCCTTACATAAAGAGAAAAAACCACTAAAACCATCCACTGTTAGTCTAATGGCAAGAGGATTCAAACTCCTGATTCATTTATCACTGAGGATACTTATGTCAGCACTGGGGTCGGTGCAACCCACATGAACTAGGTATTAAAAGAATGCGAGATGAAAGTTATTAAAGTAAAATATTTTTTTGATTTATCGAATACATAAAAAAAAATCTAAATTTAAAAGTTTACTTACCAAGAATGATCGGTCTTGGTCAGAGAAATTTGACACTAAAAAAAAATTAAAAATAATGTTAGAGGTTAGAAGTAATCAGAGAACAAATATTGTAGAATTCAAATAAAATTTAAAGACAACGTTCAGGGTGCAAAGAATAAGAACCATGCAGAATAACTTTTGATCTAATGATAAAATCTTCATGATCATGGACTCAATGGTACCAGAGTGTGACCTCAAGCATCTAATTAATTTATGTAAATGATATTTTAAGTCATGAATACAAACAAAAAAATCAAATACTTATTTTCTCTGAGTAAATATACCTTTTTTAACGGATTTGAATTTCCGACCACCACAATAATGGGATGAGCCACAATCTGGGAAATATGCTCCCAATAGTTCAGTCAGGAGAACATTACAAAGTTTGGTCCCCTTAATGTTAATTTTATTTTTGCATATGTTGCCGTACCTCTAAGGCTAAGAAAACGAACAACAAAATTTGAAAATTAAAAAATTTGAATTGAATTAATTTAAAATTCCGTTCAAATTAATCAAAATCAATTAAAAATTTTGAATTGAGTTCATTTAAAAAATTTGAACGAAATTGGTTGAATAGCTCCTAAGAAATTGGATTTTAAATATATGACTAATTTAAAATTCAATTTTGCAAGTTTTTAGGAATTTTTTGACCAGTTTTGTATTTTTACATATAAAATTACATTCATTAAAATGATGTAAAAATTTATGAACTTCACATTTTTTCGATTCGCTTAATTAATTTTGGAGATATGACAAAATTTGCAAAAAGTAAAATTAATATCACGGGACCAAATTTTGGACCACTTTCTTGACCAAACTATTGTAACCATACTTCCCAAATTGCAACTACCCCTTGCCTTATATCTTGAGGGTTAGAAATCCAAATTCATCTAAAAAAAGATATGTTTATTCAAAAAAAGTACATTTTTGTATCTGATTTTGTAACTTAAAAATATCTTTAACACAAATAAGCATATTTGAGGTCATGAACTCAAACCATTAAATTCAAGTTATTTTTTTTTTTGCATATTGTAAATTAGAAATAATATCAATAATATGCGGAGTTACACTGTCAAATGGTATTTATGATTGATTTTTGTATGAATGCTTAAAAATTGTTCCTTTATAATGACATGAATGTGATGACTTTTATGAGAAAATATGCTCAAATAATATATAAAATATGATCATATGAAATATATAATATGAAAGTATGATCAAATAATATACAAAAAAACAATTAGAATTTTAACAAGTTAACAGAAACTGACTAATATAACTTACAATCAGATTTGCCACTGCTGAATTCCGAGCTCTGAGTTTTTTCCAACTTTTCAAAATTATAATCACTCTGAAAATAAAAAAGTGATGTGAGAAACAATATGATTTTATTTAAATATAAAATTGCGGAACCCAAAATATATTTTATAATGGTATAAAGAGACATGTTTTTATTCAAAAACATACCAGATAGCCAAGACCACTGTCTCGCTCAGAACGAGATGCTAAGCCATACCCAGGTTTTGGCACATTACGAAGAGATGAAACAACTAAATATATAACAAACATGAATAAATTAGCCTTACAAAAGCATATTTAACATGATTATTTTATAAACTATTGTGAAATTAGTATGGAACAGTATTCCTTTCTGTAATAGAGACAATCTGGTAACAAATTGGCCAACAATTGGAACAGTGCTAGACTTAAAAGAATTAAAACATAATACATTTTTCTAAAGTACAATTACTTCAAAATGAAGTTAAGCAACTGTCTAACGATTTTCAGGGGCTTATGATTGAATCAATCCAATTATAATGAATAACCTAGACAAACCATCACTATTCTGTAGGGCTTGTATTAATTTTAAAAAACAAGAATGATACAGAAATGGTTGTTCTTTTTTTTAAAGTTAAACTTATTTTCATCAACAAAAAAATAATAATTTTAAAAAAGTTTGTTTCAATTTTGCATGCAAGGCTAATATAAATCTGCTGCACCTGCCACAGTGTCGAAGTAGTGCTGCTACGGAAAAAATAGCTGTAGAAGATTGATTAGCAGACATGGAAATGCCATGAAAAAAATTTGTAATGAAAGCTTCTCTTTATCTCCATCATCCACAAACCTTTCGCATAATTACAAGTTTAAATAATAAGTTAGTGTTAATTATAAATTAGTTTAAATTAAAGAAATAACTTTTTGACATACCATTATAATTAGGCATAGTGCCAACAAGTCTGCCAGTAGAAGAACGAAAGCTTGACTTTTGATCAAATTCTTCATCATCCCATGGCCTAGGATGATCGGAATCTCTAGATGGAGCTATAATAAATTACAAACGCTATAAATTTTATTTTATTTCTTAAAGTAAATAAATTTAAAAGTAAAATATCAAGGACATAAGCAAATAGTTTTTTTGGGAGGCAATGTCTTATATAAATGAGTTTACATAAAGGTTAGTTTGAAACATGATATAAAGATTGTATTTAATGCAAGCAAAATAAAAAATTAAAATTTTTTTTCTACAAATAATAGAATGCAACTCCGGAAATAGAAGCTCTTCAAGAAAAAAAATACAATGATGAAAAAATTCTTCACTTAAAACAAATAAAAATAACCTTGGATTAAACAGCATTTACTATAATCGATTGCAAATCAAGCTAAGAGGCAAAATTTAAAGTTTATATTTTTTTGAAAAAGGCTTATTTGAAGATGTCATTATTTAAGGAAAAAAATATAAAGAATCTTATGTCTATATTTATATTATTTTTTAATCTTTCTTAGAAAAAAAATGTGTGATAATTAATTCCTTAAAAGCTAAATGTCTTATGAGTAAAAATCAAGAGGGAAATAATCTGAATTTTAAATAAGACAGTAAGAAAAACCTTTAAGGTTTCATATATGATAATAAATATAAATGAAACATTTTATTTTTAATTGTTAAAAAATAAGCTGAACAAAAAAGATTTTTCTAAAGTGTTTTTTTTAAATTTTATCAATAACAAAATTTTAAGAACAATGTGAGCAATATACCATTATTATATTACTAATCATAAACATTGAAATCTATTTATATAAAAACAATTTGCAAAAAAAAACTGAAAAAGAAATAACTATTTTAAATAGCTCAGATATGAAAGAAAATAATGCTGTGTGTTTACATTTCAGATAGAATAGAAAAGCTGCTTTTCCCATTAAAAATATAAAAAATATTATTAGTATTTACAAAGCAAACATATTGTTGGTGATTTTTTAAATCTGGATACATCTCAAAATGTTTGTTTACGAAAATGGACACAGTTCCAAATGTGTGTTCAGAAAGATGGACACAGGAAAAAATGCGTCTTTTAAGTTTTCAACCTAAATTTAACAACCAAACGAGGAATTACGTGTTTACTTTTAATTACTTATTTAAAACACTAAGCATAATCATTACAGGCAAAGTCCCAGAATAAAGCGGGCATGAAGTCTATTACAGACATAACTATTCAAAACATGTCTTTGCATTCAGAACTTTAAACAGTAAAGTGAGTTTTGAAACTAAATTTTACGACATAAATTTATTGCCCTTATCTTAAAAATATAGCCCCCATTGCAAAAACAACTGTTGATTTTTAAAGTCTTTTAAAAAAGTACTAATTTAATAACATTTACCAAGTGACTTAAGCAAATGTACAATATCACATTTTGAATTTATTTGGATTTATTAGTTTATTATTAAAAAAAGAATACTCATAAAAGAAGATTGAAAAACTGAATAAAATGTTTTTAAAAACTCATCAACCATCTCGGTTTCAAGTTTATTTTTAAAAAAATGAACAGCTTTACCTATATCCAATTATACAGCAGTGAAAAAACTCTTAAAAAGTTTTAATAAAAATTATTAATTTATTAAACTATTTTAAAATTAATTATCAAAATAAATGTTATTTTTTCTATGTCAAAAAAAAATTATCTGCTACAATTTCAGTTTCTTTGGATTATTTACTTATAGAAAAATGGAGTTTAAGTATTTTCACTTGTTTCGTGTTTTGTTCAGTCATTTTGAGCTTGTACACTGAGAAAGATTTTTGTTTTATGGAATTAAAGCTACAGTTTATCCATTTTGGTGCAATTATTTTTAATTTATTCAGGCTGTTAAACTTTATTCATATAAAACACAAAGTTTCCTCCATTTTCATCATTATTTTATTGCATAGCTTATAAAATTAAAAACCTACATGCATTGACAGGATTATCATATCTCAGCCTAACAGGAGGTTCCTTGCTAGCAGAAGGGGTTCTTGAAGCATTCCGTGGATCTAAATGAAATTTTTTCCAAGCTTTAATTTTCTCTCTTTCTTTAACAGTTTTTAGGAAAACCTAAATTTAAAATATATAGATAGATAGATAGATAAATTTTAAATAAAAATTCAGAAAATATAGACTGTTTGAAGATAGATAAGATAAAAATATTTCTTTAGTTCTAAGCAGTTAAATAATTTAGAAACTTAAAATTATTAGGACAATATTTAGAAATCTGCTTATGCAATACTTTTAATAAATATTTATCTTCCATTAAATAAACCAGTTCATAGAAATAACCCTGATGCCAAAGTTTTAAAAAGTTACAATGCATCAAAGATAATACCTTTGACTTTTTATATTGATCTACAATAAAAGATGGCTTATTACTCAATTTGTTGTGCTCCATATTTTTTATATTTTATTTTTCTTACATATCTTAAGAAATATTGAAACTATATAATTTTGAATATTTTTAGTTTGAATAATTGCACCTGTATAATTGCAATACTTATTGACAAAACAAAAATAACATATATGGAAATACAACAGTTAAACTGAACAACATTGAATACAAAATTAAATATAAAATAACATTTATGTGTTTTACTAAAAAGAAATATTTAAAAGAAAACTGAAATTAAAATTATTTAGCCATCTTAATCACTGCAACGTTATGAACAGAGTATAACTAGTCACATAATATCTTACGAAAGTGCCACAACCATAGGTATCTTAACCTCTAAACTGTAGATAAAAAGTGTTAAGAACAGACCAGGGTCTGATCAACCTATTCGGGCTCTTAGCAAGAGGACTCACATTTCCGCAGCTCTTTGGAACAGGTGTTAGTGCCTACCCCTCTTCATGGTTGACAATTCCTAATTCAGGGTTGTATTGAAAGAAAAAAACTTTTAGATTAAATTTAAAAAAGAGATCAACATGCAATGCTGAATTGGTTCAAAGCAATTACTTAAATATTTAAGTATGCTAATATTCTTATGTAACCTTAGGTATGCTAATTACTTCAGATTTTAAAGTAATTAGACCATGAAGAACTAATAAAGACACTATTACAGTTGTTATAGAAAATTAAATTTAAATTGAATTCTAAAAACACTTTCACTAAATGTTATCTATTCTATGCCACATATAGAAATACCAAAGAAGAAAATACTAAGTAATCAAAAGCTGTAGATACACTGACTCAGCCAAGAAATGTATTTGAAAATTAAAAAAAAAACATTGTAAATAAAAAGTCTGTGAAATTTTAAATCATGAAAGATCTGATTACTATTGGCATGGAAAATAGATTTGAATACAACACATTAAACATTTATTGTAATGTATTCTATGTTAACAACAAAAAGTATCAAAAACAAACATTTGCGATCGGAATGCTGGAATGCGCCATCTGGGGAGAAGACCGGTTCCATGACTTGACCCTCCCCCTTCTTTTCTCAGTAGTATAGGGATGAACTACGATAATTTCCCCTTTTTTAATATTTTTCATATTTTTCCCTAATTTTTTTAATTTCTACGACGCTTTCTTTTGGAACTATGTTCAATGTAGTTTTTACTTCTATATAGTTTCCTTACTTAAAAGTTTTAATCTATTTCAACATCAAGACAGAAAGTAACATACTTCTTTCTCTTATGACTCTCCACACGTTAATGGTGAAAGCAAGTGTTGCCTTAGGTAGAGAGTTCTGCTTTACACCTACTGTAGCCCATTTTGATTGCCAATAATCAGAAATCAATATACAAATATTGATATATGTTCAGAAATCAATAGTTAAAGACAATTATTTGAAAGGTGGAAAAACAGTTCTGAAATCTTTTGTACATTCAGAAAAATATAGATTTTTACATTATGCTGCTATATGTTTTGAAATTATTTTAAAATTTTTTCACAAAATTTAATTCTCTATAGCATCCTAGTAAATGTAGGCATCAAGAAAAAATATGAACAGCTGGCTGCAAATATCAAAATACATAAATTATTGGATTAAACCTCAGCCAACTAGTAAAAATTAAAAAGAAAAATTCCTTAAACACCAGATCTTGCAATAAATAATTAGATTTTACATTATATAATGTTGAAGGAAATCAACTTTTACACACTTTTCCTATGCCAGTTGCAATTTTAGAAAGTTCTTCTTCTTCTTTTTTTAATTGAGGATCAACTTCATTACTAACAGTCTGTTCAAGTTCTAACTCTTCCTCCACATCTACACCTTTTGAGCTACCACTCCATCTTCTTATACGTTCTAAATAAGAAAAATAAACGTGAAACAATTGAACTAGTTTAATATGATAAATGCATAATTAAATTAACAAATATTTACTTACAACTATTTAGGCAAATGTAGGCATAAAATAAACACTATTAACATCTAGTGTCAAGATTATTTAAATTACTTGGTATACAGGAGTGAGAATTTAATGCAAATACAATTTTCATGACTTAACACTAAACAAGAAAAAAGCTTTTTAACTTATATTATATTAATTATAAAGCAATAGAAAAATACCATAGTAATCTAAAAATACATCTTTACATAAAAAAGGATTAAGCATTGAAATTCTTACACTATAAGATTCATTTACACTTTTAACATACACTTATAATAAATAACAAAATATCTTAATAAAAATTTTTATTTAGAAGAAACAATTCTATCATAAACATAAGATAAGAGATCACAGATTTCTAACGCATTAAAAATGCATACAAAAATAAATTAAAATTGAAAGTTATATCTTTTAAATTTATCCAATTATCAAATTTAGAATACTGCAACATTCTCCAGGATATTAAATAAGAAATAATGTCCACAATTACAACAGTAGAATTTTGCACCATTTTCTGGGATATTTACAAAGAAATTAAGTCTAGCTGATTGAAAATAAAATTTTATTACCATAATTTTAGGTATAATTGTCGATACTTTTCAACAATGAAAAACAAGAAGTGAGCTCATATGTTGATAATAAAATTGAACATCTTTTGATAATTAATGATAAATAGACATTCTTTAAAAGTGCAACCTTTAAGATGTTTAGTTGCTCAGAAACTACTCAACCAAATTAGTAAAAATTTTGATGCCGTCTTTTAAAGTTACATACTTTTAATAATGTAAAAATTTGAGTACCTTACAATTCAAAATTGTTTCAATCATATAATTAAATGAAATAATAAAAATTAATAAATGTGGTAATTTTTGGTAGAAAGGCCGCACTGTTGTACTAGTCGCACCTGAGAAAAACATTTAGCTAAGTAAGCATTTTAATTTAAACAAAGATAGTAGTGTAGTAAAACATATCTTTATATCATCTTGAACCAAACTCTTGTAACATCAACAAAGACTATCAGAAATAGTGTCGATGTTTTAAAAGTCACGACAAAAAGTATGGAGATGCTGAATGTATAAAGTAGCAGAATGCATAGCCAAAATTTTTAAGCATCTTCAAATATCTCAGTATTTGATATATCATTCATTCTTAATTTTCATTCATTAATTTTTCCCTTTTTATTGTAGCACGCAGATTTTTTTTCCAATAATGTACTCATATATTTTGTTTTATTTTATAAGTACTTTAAGTTTTTCTTTAAAATAATACTCCTTCTAAATAATTGTCAAATAAGCTGAGAAGAATTTAGGAACATTTTGCTGTATTAAAATTACTCAGGGCAAAATGTCTTACTGGCTTGTATTTAATTAAGTGCACATTTATTTCAAAGAATGAACTCACAAATTATTTATTTATTGATTTTTTCTAATTCATTTGATTAGTGAAAAGTAAATATATATAAATGTAACACAAAACACTACAAGTTTTCAATTCTCTCATTGTGTGTCTCACAATTTTCATATGCAAGATAAAAGTATATCAAAATTTGTACAATCTGAGGTTCTGGAGAGGATGCATTTTCCCAGTCTATTTAACTGCACAATCCACTCTTATCCCGTACATGGTAGCATTTCAACTTTTCTGTGATGTTTAATTATTTATTCAAATCTGGAAAAACAGATAATGCTAGTTGATTATATTTCCACAAAATATACAAGCCTGTTTTGCAACTTTTTATGAATTTTTTTTCAAAGTGGCACTGTTTGTTGCTTAGAAACTGAAGCTGGCAATAAAAATAAATGATGAAAATATTAAACTGGCAATGAAATGCAAATTTGAAGCAAAGATTGCAAGGTAGAACTTTGCTTTTAGCTCTGTGTTTCAAAGTTTATGATATCGAACTTTATTACTTATAAATGTTTTGTAAGTATGTTGCATAATTTCATTAGTTCACAAGTTTTCTCTATGCATTTCATAAAACAAATCCTAATTTAGCCAAGATTGATTATCAAAGTTTTGCTTTTGTATGATAATTCTTAAACTTTCATTTTCGGACAATCTTTTTTAAGATCTCATTCTATATTATAAAAAAACTTTTAGAAACATTTTTGGAAGATTTTAACTTTGAAATATACGTAGATATGAAATATGCATTAAAAATTACGCGATTTTGATAAGAAAAAAAAGCAACCAGAGGGCTCACATACTTTTTACAGAAATCATTAACACAAATTTTACTTATAATTCATCAAAGAGCTGTGATGGCTCAAGGGATAGAGCGTTTGCCATCCAATGAGGGGAACCGGGTTCGAATCCAAACGATGGTCTATAAGAATTTCATAACTGGCTTGCACCTGCCAAAGTGTTGAAACCAAAAATTGGGTCGGCTGTTCAACGACAGTAATAAAATAACATCCTGATGTTTCTACATATACTGAAACTTATTTTCGTAAATTCGCCATAACATGTCACCTAACACATTATTCAATTATGATTAGCTACATTTTTCACCAAATATTGTGATTATGATTTAATATAAGGACTAATCTAATATAAGGACCTTATTTTATTTTATAACCATTGTTGAACAGCTAATCCAAATTTGAATTTATGACTACTAATATTCACCTCCATAGCCTTGTAATTTTGAAGACAAGGGAGCTTCTGGATCAAGTATTAAGAAAAATTTGCCTTTGTGGAAGATTTTCTGATGAAACTAACCTGAATCTGAACTACATGGAGAGGAAAACCATAAAAATCTCCCATGGTCATCCTGACACCAAGGGGACTTAAACCCATGATCCATCTACCACTGAGGATAGTTAACTTGAACAATAGGGTCGGTGAAAGTCGCGTGCAGAATCGGTATCGACCAGTCATTGCTGAGATTCAAACCCAGTTCATTTCATTGTAAGACAAAGGCTCTATCCCCTAAGCCACCATGGCAGTGTGATTTGTAGAGTCAGATGTTATCAGGATGTTTTTTTTCTTTTTCATCTTCCTTGCCTAGAAGACTTAATCAAAGGTGTAAAAATGATTACAATTCCGTGTATAATTATAATAAGTTACGTGAATTTGATTTTAGTACGAAATCTTCACATAAAAGTAGGAAGAAAAAACTTAAGAACCACAGATAATTTCTGATATAAAAAGTTTATGTGTTCCATACTCAAATCTTGAAAAATCCTAAATAATTTATTAATCTATGCAAATTTTCTTCCCAAAGGAGATTCAAAAGAAAACAATCTTTGCTTTTAATTATACTTAATATCTGATCCAGTCTTTTAGATACTTCTACTTATATATCAACTTAGGAGGTAAACTGATTTATTACCTGGATCAGTAAATGGAAATGGAGGGGCAGGAAAATCATCTCGCTCAATTCTTGGCACTTCATCAGGACAAGGTGGCTGACCTCCAGGATAATGAGAATATTCTATAGGTTCTTCATTATTCATATGTGGGGAATGTGGTCTAGGTGTGGTGGACTGAATAGAATCCACTAAAACATTGCAAATTATCCATAAGCAAAAATTTAGAATAATGAATGCAATAATTCATTTTATAAATAGGACTGAAAACATTAAAAATTTGTATTTTATCAAACAAACTTAAAACAAAGTCAATAAAATAATAATTTGCACAATAATTATACGGATCAATGAAACAGAAAATGAGATAAACAATAAATACATACCAAGCACCTGCATGCCTGCATTCCAACAATATCACATGAAAAATAAAAACAAATTAATTTCAAAATAGAAATATTAGCTTTTTAAAAAAATTCTACAATTTTTTTCAAAAATTCATGAAAGTCACAAGAAGGATACAGTATATTCCAATTATACATGTCCATTTATACTTACAGTATATCCCAATTATACATGCTTGCCTTCAATTTTGGTAAAAATTAAGAAAAAAACTACACCAACAAGGAGATACAATATCAGTGGGAAAAAACCTGGTTTATTCCTGAGAATAAAGCAGGTGTTCAGAGGATAAAAATTTGAAAATTTTTGTTTGTTTTAACTGCAACATTTTCTCTTTCAGCAGAAGAAGCAATTAATAAAAATATTAAATTCTCTTTTATAATAATCATAATCTATTTTTAGCTATTTTTAAAAAACATTCAAGTTAAAAATAAATGCATGCAGTAATAACTTTAAAATCTGTATATATAAAAGGCAAAGACATCATTCATTCACTTACACAATTATCATTATTTTCCCCACTTCCCATGAACTTAGAAAGCTAAAATTCGGAACATGTGTTTTTTATACAACCAACAATAAAAGAGCTAAAGAAGTATCATTTCAATATATTGTAATTATTGGAGCAATTAGCCTAATTGTTAGTACAACTAAATAACACGATTTTATCAAGATTAGTGACTCAAATTTGGACCATGTGTTTCTTAGCAGATAAGGAAAACTAAAGTTTCACTTCGATGTTTTATAGTTATCTCGGTATTTAAAGGATAATTAATCTGATTAACAGTAAAGCTAAATAGCACATTTTACCTAGATAGATATCTAAAATATGAACCATGCGCCCTTTATCAAATAAAAAGAAAAACTTAAGAAAACATCGTTTTGATATTTGTAGTTATTGCAATAAATAGAGAACAATTAGCCTAAAACTGATCGTAATGCTACAGTAAGATGTTTTTACCAAGATAAAAGTCTTACATTCAGACCATGTTTTTGTGAGAAAAGAAAAACTATCGAAACTTAACTTTGAATATGTTTAACTATTGGGGTAATTATACAAATTGACGATTTGCTAAATAGACAAGTTCCCACAAATTACACATATGTTTGGTTCAGAACAACCAATTTTGAGTTCTGTGCCATTAAAATAAGAAGAGGGAAATTTATTCAGGGGGATGACTATATAGAACTAAAAAGTGTTGAGTTTGAGTGGACCAACTGGGAGCTGCAGGAAAGTTCTAGAAAAATTGCTAACCTTCAGACCTGTATTTAAAATTCAAATGCTGAGGATTAAGAACAATGCTGTGAAATACAGCAGGATTTAGTTTGGAGCCCTTAAGTGGTGAACTTGGGCAGGTGAAAGATAATGTGGGATTGCAACGCAACGAATTTGTGTAGGCGGACCAGCTGATTGCCACACGTGTATAATAGATTTATAACGCTAAAAATATGGAACATAAAATTAACTCTTAATAAAATACTGTGTAATTACTAAAGTGAAGCATTTAAAAAAAATTTGAAAACCACTGAAATTAAATTAAAAAATCTGTTTTTAAATTAAATTAATTAAATTAAAAGATTTGCTTAACTTCAAAATTGCCAAAGTTCTCCAGAAATCTGGATATATTCTCAAAAACTCCTGTTTTTTGGTTTTTTTTTCTCTCTTTCATAAACTAAGGGCATTTTGAGTCACTCTTATAAGAACTAGTTTTCAGGCAAAGGCACGTTTAAACCTGTCAGGGAAAAAATCTGGTTGATTCACTAGATTATAACTAAAAGAGTATTCTTTTAATGCTTAGGGGGCAAATAATAATTTATTTTCAAATTCTACATCTTTAATATAGAGTATTGCAGTTGGTTCAAGATTTCACAGAAATAAATGTTATAATTTTCAGTGCACTTTCTACAGATACCCTGTTAGAAGAGTGATGATTTTAATGAGCCAAATAATGGACCTCTATAATAAAGAATAGAAAACATAACAATGAGAGAAAATTTCTCAATCTTTCCAATCACACCCTGATAATACTAGACAATAACATTGAAACTATATCCAAAAATAATTATTAGGGGATCTAATAGATCTGTACTGAATACTTGTACTTAGTAATAGATCTGTACTGAAAGGTTATAAACTTTCAGTTTAAAACTTTTCAGTACAAAAATCCCCTTACAATTTTTTTTTCTTCTGGTAAAAAGAGATTCCAAAAATTCAAATCACATCCCTAATAATTTTTCCGTGCATCTTTTCCTTCAGGCTTAGTTTATAATTTTTTTACAGGGAATAAAGTAATTTAAATTTTGCAAGCTATAGCCTCCTCTGACTCTTGCCTCTATATTTAATCAATCCATAACAAAGGCCACCGTAATTATTTTGCACAATCAAATGGTTTGATGCAAAAGAATTACATTTTATGATACAAATACTTCGATTGTGAGGAGGCGAGATAATTCTAAAATAATATAATCAAATCAAATTATAAGGTTTACATTGAATTTAAAGTTTGTTGCATTAATGTTTTTGCACAAAAGTTTTATTATAAATGAAATAGTGCTAAAATAAAAGGTTCAGTTGACTGCACAGTTGATTGAAGTTGATTAAAATTATATCCTTTAAAAAACCACTTATACTACATGTAGAAAAAGAATGTACCATAATTCCACTGAGAAATGCCACAGACTATACGGTTTTGAGCAACTGGCTAATAATGGAAAGTTTTTGTGATTTTCTTCTACATTATGCAAATACGGGTTAGTTCCATCAAAAAGTCCTTGTCCCAAGAGTTCCCTTGTCAAAAATTACAAGCAGGCACATGGGTTTAGCTGCTAGTTAATTTATTTTTAATTATTTGTAATAGATATCTTAAGTTTATGCTTGTTTAGTATGGTAAAACTGTGCGTGATTTACATGATTGTGCGCAATGTAAATGGTCAAATACTTTTTCCTTTTTATAGAATTTCATGAGTATGGCATATATACCAGGTTGTCTTATCTCTGCAAAATTATGGCAATAAAATATACCTGCTCTACAACTAGAACTTTTGCTCCACGTTCTTCTTCTCTCTGGCCCATCTGAAATACAAAAGCAAATTTAGAATAATAAGTATTTTAAAGGGGAAAAAAAAGCATGTTTTTTTTTCTAAACAAAAATCGCTAAGCTACCAATGGTAAAATTAAATTTAATAACCAAAATCTAATACTTCAACGTTAGATTTTGTTAATGTGAACAAAAATTAAACAAATTGGTGAAATGTAGTAACAAAGTTTAGAATAAGTTTTCCTAATAACTCTAAAATTTAAAACTAAACTTTAAAGTAGGGTTCCTTTAATATAAATTAGAGAAAGCAACATGACTTTTTTTAATGATAATAATTCCAAGCAAAAACTTTGGCTGAATTGTGAGAACAAAATATATCTTTAAAACTGGTTTAACCCTTTCGAGCCGACTGTCACATATATGTGCCAGCAAGAAACGCGCTCACTTCCCGGCCGACACACCCGCGTGTCAGAGAGTTTTCTCGTTCACCCCCGACCGTCACTTATTTGTGCCAGCGTTTCGGAACGTTTTAAAAAATGAAATTTCTTCCAAAAGATGGCATTGTATGTCCATATGGTTTCCGATACATGTAGATTTGACCTTCTACTCAAGATGAAAGTTTTTAGGGGAAGGAGTGGAGGGGGGAATGTTTTATGAGGGCTCTTTAAATTAGCACGTGATATTTATTTACAGTAAGTAAGGGAGTTTTTTTTATCTCTCGCTACTTTCGATTTTCGGATTAGTTTTTAGTGGATAATTAGATCTTGTAGGCTTGAATTTTTTTTCTTTTTACCGTTAGAATGTCGAAGCGTCGAAAATTTTTAACTGAGCTGGAAATAGAGGAAATTATGCAAAATATTTAAACTTATTAATATTTATATTACATTTAAACAAGAAATAACTTAAGTAAATAAAGTATCCATAGAAATATATATAAAGCATATGTCACTTAAATACTCTACAGAACAATATTAAACAACGCGCTGATATTTCGGTAATTTCATGGAATTAGGCTTAACATCGAAAAACCCTCCGGCCCTGGGGAGACACACGCTAGAGAGACTGCCGGCCTCAGCGGTAAGCGCGCTTTCGCACTTTGCGTCGCGAAAGGGTTAAACTTCCAGGTCAAACTGAGCTGCATTGCGAGAATGAAGTTTTAAAGAAAAATCCACTTCTAAAGATCCAGTTCAGCCTGACTTAAGTTAAACCTACTCGGGGGAAAGTTTAAATCATAGAAAAGAGCTCAAACCGCAATTCTTATGTTAACAAAATCTTCCAAAAGAACGCATCTCTTAAATCATGGAAAAATTAATTTTGGATTCACAGTATATTATATTATTCAATAATTTTTGTTTCCTTGAAAATAAATATTAGAATGATTAAACATGTCATTTGTTGAATAGGGTTTTCTATTTGAGTGATTGTGAATATTATATTCAATAATTCGAATGTTAGACCTTTTCGGAGGGAAAACAAAAATACAAGGGTTACGAAATTATAAATTTAAGGAATAATAATGTAAGACTATTTTTTTAAGAATCCTGCATTTTTCAATGTATCAATTATTGATCTTAATATGCTACTATTGCTAACAAAATATTATTAAATTCTTTACATGTTGACCATAAATATTACTACCTTATTTTATCTGATTATTTCAAATAATGATAACCCTTTTTATTGATAAGGGGAGTTTAATATGTTAGTAAAATTTCTTTTCTCTTAACAAATGTTTTACGAGTAGTCTACAAAGTTTCAAAATATATGAAACATATGTATAATTTTTATTTTAATAATCATTTTGATCGGCTTTTGCTTGCTACAGTTTTCTACATTATTAAAAAATCATCATTTACTGCTCAAAATCAGAGATCAGCAACTTTGATCAATGTGTAAAAGTTACTACGCAGTTATTGACAATTGACTCATTGTTGACAATTGAAAGAAACATGTAATGCGGATAGTAATTTAAAAAATATATTTTTAACAGAAATAACTAAAATGAGGTTTTCATAAATAATAAATAGTGCATGGCTTAGAAAAATTTATATTTATTTATTAAAAAACTTTTTCATGATTACATTTTTTTAAGCAATATTATTTTAATATTTTAAGACCTACCACTTTTTTAAACAAATATTATACCAGGAAATATTATTTTTATATAACTTATTTTCATTTAACTTTGAAATTACTGTCCTCCTTCAATCAGCAACAGAATGTTCATTTAGCTACTTAAAATAAATCTGTCACCCATTACGATCATCCATTTTTGTAGGAAAGAATTAATTTAAAAAAATCAAATAAAAATTAGAAATTTCTTGAAGTTTTCAATCAAAACTGTAAAATTTTTGTGCATAATAGAAAAATCATTTTTCAAATACTCTTATTAAAGTAAAAAGAATGTATAAAAATTTGATAATTCTCTTACTTATTTTTTATAATATATTCAGTTAATCTTTAGGCTTCAATTCAGAAGTTAAAAGTGCATTTTTTATTCAGATATCTTATTTGTCATGATCAATAACACCACAATTATGAATCAACAATTTTATACAATTTTCTTCAAAATAAGTCAGTAGGATGTTAAAAATATTGTTTTATTTTGTGTATAATGTAGATCAATGTTTAATTTTTAAACTTTGCGTCGGTTAAGACTTTTGAAAAATAATTTTTATACAAGCCATTATTTAATACAACCTATATCCATATCACAAAAAATTGATATTTCTTACTTGATTAAAATTTCATAAATTTAACTGCATAAGTTATCAAGATAGTTTAATTCTTGATTCACTTTCAAACATTCCAAACATAACATTCCAAAATGTTTCCAAACAGTGACAGACAGAATTCTTTCTACCCGACTAGGTATATTTTTCATTTGATGCAAACTTTCTGTGCATCCTATGAGCAATCTTGCTCTAGTCTTGTTAAACCTCAGTAAAACTATATTTCATCAATGAAGACTAGTCTTTTCGCGTCGATCAGGATTATGTAAACAGACTAACTAAGGCTAAACTAAAGCAGTTTAGACTGTGTATTGACAATTCAGCCTATCTCTTCATCATATTTACCTGGTGGTCTATGGAACTGAGGTGATTTTGATGGCTTTGGATCAAGAGGGCGTTTCAAATAGCCCAGACTAGGCTCAGCAGTTAAATAGCTGTATGTATATACTCTATTAAGATCAGACAGAAGTGGATCTACTTCCATATAACTTCCTGGACTCGAACGACCATACTGAAAAGAATACAATAATTATTAACTTAAAAAATTATAAAGAATTACAATGATCATGACTAAAATTTTATGTTTAATGAAACAAAATAAATAAAAATAAAAAACTAGCCAGTTTTTTTTTAAATTATTATTTATGTTTTATTCACATTGTCTGGTTTTATTAATCTATTGCACTAAGTATATTGTTTCCTTTAAAAAATTAGTTAAATTTTGCTTACAGCTTTACTCATCAAGATAATCACATTTGCAACAAGAAATGTTCTTTTATGATTACTTTAATTTAAGTTTCAAGGACAGCTGAATTTTTTTTTATCTTTTAAAAGAACTTTATTATAAAAGTAAACAAAATAATGAGATTTAAACAAATATTCAAGAATATATGAAATTTAGTTAAAAAGAAGGAGTAATTTTTTCTTTTTTTCTCCAAAAGATTGATGGATCCTTTAGCCTCAATATGAAATATAATCTAATAATATTACACTATAATACTCATATACGAAGAAATACAAAAAGTTTCAGCTTTATTGATTCAATCTAAAATTTTTAATACTAGGGTAAATCTATTTAAAAAAAATACATAAATATTGTATTAAAAATTACTATTTTTAAAATATTGTAGTTGATAATTTAAAGATTGTGAAACATTTAAGGATGTGTAATATAATATACATTAATATAGAAGTTGAATATGGTATCTAGCTTAAAGTTCATGAATAGCATCCTAGCATCAATAGAAAAATTAAATTTGCAATCTTTGAAACCAAAAATATAAAAAAAAAAAAATTTATAGTAATCATTCATATTGCTGAAAGATAGTGTAATAATAAAATAAACTTTATAAAAGACATTTTAAATGCCCCAAAACAAATAAAATTTATTCAAGTCTTACTGACTGAGTAATTTTGTTGTAAACTAGTGTTTAGATATAATTTATTTATAACATTAGAGTGAAGTATGGTGAATGGATGAATTAAATTTTATGATAATTGTCACAAATCATTAACAGGGTGGCCACTCAAATCAGATTTCAAATTTTCCTGATTTTTCCAGGTTTTCCAGATAAAAATCTTAAAATTTCCAGGTTTTAGTTTCTTTATTCTAATAAAGTGTAGACAAGAAACGTGTCTATATTATAAAATATTTTATTCAAAATGTTATTTTTTTAACATATCTTGAAAAAGATAATTTATTTTGACAATTTGGCAAGATGTTTTATTCATTTTTTAATGTTTTGGTACAAAATTTTGAATCAAAAATCATATATTGACCAACAAAAGAGTAAAATTAAATATTAGTATATAGTTAGTTCTTAAAAAAACCTTTTTTTAAAATTAAAATATGTTATAAAAGGTTACAATGAAATAGAAAAAATTAGCATTAATGCAACAATTGTAACAATTTGTCGATAAACATTGCTGTTAGCGATTGTAAAAAAAAAGTGATTGGTTGGTTTGCTGAGAAAAAATAATTCACAGATTTCTTTTAATGGGAATACAAAAGCTTTCAGAAAAAGAGTGCAATATAAAATCTATTATTATTATTAAATTATAACCAACTAATCTTTGGAGAATTTTATGAAGTTAAAAGTACAAAAACATTTTGTCAAAATGGAAAAAAATTACAATGAAATCATTGGAACAAACTTAAGCCATAAATAGGTTCAGCCCAAAGACAGAATTTAAAAACAGAAGCTAATATCCTAATCCTTTTTTCCACCTCCACCACAATCTTTCCTAAATTGCACAGTCCATAGAGGTCAAAGGTTTCCACATTCATTTAGCAACAGTGGAAGAATTTTATGTGGCATTCTAGTTTAACAGAGCTGTAATGGAGCAAATTTTGATGCAAGCAAAGTATTGCTAAGTTGATGATATTTCAACTGCTTGGAGATACATTTCCATCAAAAAAAAGTGGGTATAATGGATGAAATAATTTAAATTAAGAAAATTAGCAAATAATTTAAATTAGTGAAATTTAAAAAATTTCCAGCATTTTTTTAAAATTCCCTGATATTTCCAGGTTTTTATCCACATTTCTCTGATTTTTCCAGAATAAAAAAAATTCCCTGATAATTCCAGGTTTTCCAGGTGGGTGGCCACCCTGATTAATCATCATTAATCATCAATAAATTATCATTTGCAATTGTTTTTTTTTCTTAGTGTATTTTTTTAATGCTTCCATCCTCTTTTAAAATTTTAGAATTCTTTTTTTTTTTTTTTTTTTTTTGCCTATGATGAGTATTTTTGTATTCGAATCTTTTCTTCGTTTCTATTTTTATGAGTCAAGGTCACTTTTACTCATCTCTTTCAAGGTTAATTTTACACCCCATTGCCTTTTATTATTCTTTTTTCTTTCCTTTGCTTTGTTCCCATGAGTTGGGTTACGTCCTGTCATAGATGACGCATTCTTGCCTGGTTTCAACCAGTTTGTTTTCTTTCCTCTCAACACTTTTGCACTGCTTTGACTTCAGATTGATTTTTCTCCCTTACCATATTTAGTAAGATTTTGGGTTTCAGTGACCCTGATTGGTTCTATTCATTAGCTTTTCGACTTTCTCTCCTCAAATCATCTTCTTTTTTTGGATGGTTGAATGTTCCGGCTTTTCGGGAAGCCCTTTTTTTGGTCACCATCCTGAATACCTGTGACCTGCAAGAGCTGCGGAGGCAGAAGTTTCTTTTTTTCGGGATGCTATCCTTCCAGAGCTGATGGAAATGATGTTCCATTTTTTTATCAGAAGAACGTCTTTTTTGTGCTAGATTTTTTTTTTGTTGATGAAAAAGACATTAAGACACTTGTGTTACCTTCTAACTACCTAATACCTCTCTCAGTCTCTCCATTCCCCATTCTTGGGTAGTCTTCCTGAATGAAATAAAGTTCTGACAATGTACCAAATAGAAACTGTCTATGTGTTTTTTCACGTCCACAAGATCTTATCCTCCAGCCCACTTGATGTAACCTAAGCATACGAAGGATGAGTAACTCATTTTTATTTATCCTTTAATTTGTTTTTGAGCAGTGTTTGGTTCCGCTCTACCACCACAAAAACATTTTTTTTAAAAGCATAAAAGTTGGCAGGTATGCAAGAGGAAAAAAAGTTTCACAAGTTAGTCATTAACCAATCCGAAGCCAGTAAGCTCTTGTAACTTTTTCACAAAGTTAACGTGGGTAAAATTCTATTTCACCAAATGGAGTAGATCCTAAACAAATTGTCAGTTGATTAATACACTACATTTATTGTTACATTCTATAGTTAATGTGCCAAAATATTGCAAACAATAAAAAATTTATAAATTACAAGAACAACTTTACATTCAGGAACCCCAATGTAAAAATTCTATAGTGAAGCAAAGGGTTTTTACCATTCCATGCAAATTTTCTCTCTCAAAAAAATTAGGCTAGGACAGGAAAATTTAAATGCTTCATAACATTAAACTTCTTCCATATTTAAAGAACATTTTGCAATTCAAACATGCACTTACATTCCATAAAAACATAATAAGCATATGATTAAAACTAACCTGTATATAAACACTGTTTCCAATGCAGTATAAATCATAATAATGGTAGAGAGGTGACACCTGGTACAGCTGTTGGATCAGTATGAAGGAGTTCTGAACATGCATCACTCAATGCAAAGGAAAATACATGCAAATGCTGTGGACTTAAAAGTATCAATATATTCATGCTACATAAATTTTACATTTTAATAAATAAAAGTAACATGCAGGGAATCTTTTAAAAATAGGGAAACATAGCTTTTTAATTTATTATTCGTTAATATGCACTTAATAATCAACAATCAATCAATTAACACTACTAATTTTACTTATAACTTTATAATCTACAATAGTCTATTAAAGTATGGTTATAAATTTGTGATTAAAAGTAAGTTACATTTCCATATTCTTAGCAGCTAAAAAGGTTAAAATAATAATGATTGATAAGATAGTTTCAAATGAATATCAGTAATGTATAGATACTTTTAAAATATTAAACTGTTGCTATAACTTGTAAATTATAAAGCTTACATGAATTCCATTAATAGATAGTTCTTTTTTGGAATCCAAATCACTGTCATCTAACTGAGAATCTGGTCCTGGCCCACATCTTGGATGCCAAATAGCCCCACCTTATAATGTGAGAAAATGAGTAAGAATTTTTTATACACATTTTAATTTAAACACAGAAAAATGATTCACACTTAAACAAACATTCTATCTTAAGAAATGAGTACAAATTTTCATTTTTAAGTTTATCTGATCTCATATTTTTTTTTAAACTATAAATATGTTAAATAATAACAAGTGATCTCAATGTAACAATAAGCATTGAACATTTTGTGCAATAAGTGCACATTAGCTAGAAATATTCAGAACAATAAAACTGCCTGAAATACCAATATGCACAGATTCTTATACAAATCATAATTTTAAAGTAATTGATAATTCAAACATTGCAGTTTGTGATTCTTAACATATTTCTCTTGTTCTTTTAAACAACATTTGAGAGAATATTTTATTTGCCCAATATAAGATAATCCACATTATAATCCACATAATAAAATTATAAGGGGTTTCCACAAATTTCATTTTGTACTATTAAAGATTTATTAACAAGTGATGATACCCTTCTAATGATGATCAGAACAACAAAGTGGGATGGTACTAGGAAGTAAAACATGTGAAAGAAAAGATACTTTTATGAGGGATGATCACGAACAATGCTGGTGTCATTACTTTCTTTAACTTATTTTTTGCTTTATAATGTATAATTTTTCAGAACTGCATTTTTTTCTTGAATTAATGAAATTCATAACAGTCAAAGTTTGTACAGTTTTGATAATAAAAAACCTTATTAATAAAATTCATTGACTCAGAGTAGAAAGTTTTAATTGTTCACAAAACTAAAATTAATTAAAACAAATAAGTGCACAGTTTGATTTTATCTTAGTTCATAATTTTTAATATTATCCATCAAAAGCACCAATTAGCATATATATATGTATATATATATATATGTATCNTTTAATCTGCTATCATTAGAGAGAGAGTTTAGCAAGCAAGAATGCCACTGTTCGAAAATTACACAACTTTATATATATATATATATATATGTTTAAAATGTTTCAATGGACATTTAATGACAAATTCTCCATGACATCCATTTTGGTCAAAGTTTCTACAATTACCCAAAACGTCCAACCTCTGAAAACGCGAATATGTAAGAGTCGAAAATTAAATCCATTCTTAGCTGTGCAAGATTAATTTATACTTACATATTTTTTAATGTAAAATTTTAAAACCAGGGTTAGGACCAGGCCATAACAATAACAGCCATAACAATTTTAAAAGCATAAACAGAAAATAATAACATAATGATGAAAAAAAATTTATAAGATAAATTCTAAATCTTACATCACAAGCTAAAATCTTTGCAGCATTTTAAATAAAACATACCTTGAAGATACATTTCTTCCCCATCACCAAATGGATCACCACATTTTGAGCAACGAGCACAAGTTGGATGGAAATGATGATTGTCTCCTGCCTTAACAAAATATTTCAAATTACGAAGTTGCATTGGTGAATTAAAGAACATTGTTAACATTATGAACAAATTAATTGAGAAAACTTGAATAAATTACTTGTAAAACTTTTCCAGCAATAAATCTCTCACAATGAATGCATTTTACACCAAATAGTTTTTGGTAATCTCTCTCACAATATGGTTTACTATCTCTGAAAAATAAAACAAGAAATTTAAAAAAAATCTGCTTTGCACAAAACCTAACTTTCATTTTTTATAGATATTGAAATGTTATTCCTTGCAAAACCTAACTTAAAGATTTGATAACTGCAGTAATTTATTGAAAAAAAACAAAGTTAATATTATATCACAGGAAAAAACAAGAATCTTTCTTTGAGAGAACCTGCTTGTTTAAAAAAAATTGAATTTAATACATGATATGAGAATTTTGAAAAATTGTTTTATAATAAAAATTAAATGACTTGATTATTCACTTTGCATATTTAAGCAGGTTCAATTAAAATTACATTGAAATTTTGGAGAATATTATCATTAATATAAGTTGTATTAATAGGCAATATGTTATTTTTTCAAATGCATCAAAATATTCTTATTAGAAATTTATTACTATATTTATTAAATCAGACATAAATCAGAGCATCAAGAGAGCAACAAAAAAATTCTGTTAGGTTAGAAAAAATTCTGTTAGGTAAGAAGTTTTTTAAACGTTCGAAAATTTCTTTAAAAAAAAAGGTAGAAAATAACATAATTTAATTTCTTATTAAGTTAAGCTTAGTAAGTTCTTTTAAAATAACACTCAAAAACACATAAAGAATTTAACTACAACATAGCATATAAATCATATACAGTGTGTTCCATAATCACTACCCTGTCTGTGAAAATTCTTTTTAAGAATAACGAAAATATTGATCAGTATTCCATGCTTTTAAACATTGAGAAATAATTTTTAATAAATGACATTGTGTCAAGATGAATTGATACTCTGCAATGTCTTTAAACTTCTTTTACCTAACTATGATGATGTTTGACAAACAAATGATGTTTCCATAAATTTTTTTCAAATATTGATCATTTTCCATATTGCAGTACAAATAAAAAAAAATTGAAGCATTTTAATAAAAGCAAATCTATTGCAACAATATTGTTTAATTCTTGATCATGGGTTTTTTGATATTGATCTGCATCATGTATTCTATTAAGGATTTACAGTTAAAAACATTTACAGAGAAAAGTTAAATCTGGGTAGGGTTTAAACAATAAAACCCTTCATCACAATTTATTTACACCATTTTGTCAATATTCCAGAGTTATGTTATTTTGGGTTTAACACCTTGAATATTGTTGCTTATTGCATTTCATATAGTAAAAAATAGAGTCGGAAATGAATGATAACATGAAAAAATAGCTAGAGGCATACCAGATATGTAAACAAAATTGATAACTACATTCAAAAGATAGTAAATCCTTTATTTCATTATTTTGATGATTCTAATTTCCATAATTCAATTTATGGTTTATGGTTAAAAATGCAAATGATAATGTTGGGAATAAAATTTAATTCTTATCTTACTAACAGAATTAATAATATAAAGAATAGTCTTTTGGCCTTTTATTTTTAAATTAAAATGCTAACAGAGGTCAGAATTATGCTCAGTTTTTTACTATTTATATTATGTGAACCATCAATGATCAACTGTAGCGATCAATGTTATACAGTGAAACCTGCCAAGTTGACCCCCCTTGTAAGTTGGGCACCTGCATAAGTTGACCTCAATTATCAAGAACGAAATTTTTCCTATATAATATAAAGAAGCAAAACCTTTGTAACTTGACCACCTGCCTATCTTGTACGTTGACCACTGAAATAAGTCAATTTTGTCTAGGAGTATTATGAAATTCAATTCTAAAACCCTCATAAGTTGACCAGAAAAAAAAATTCAGAAAATTTTCTGTCATTTTGGCAATGTATGTTAAAATTTCACTTGTTTGGTGAAATAGTGTAAAAAGCTAATCTAAACCCTTTTGTGAGTTGACCATCAGGGGAAACTGTAGGGGGTCAGCTTTTGACCATTTCTTTCATCCGTTCATTGAAAACAGGAGTGTTAGTTGAAAAGTTGCTCTTCCAGTTGCAATAGTGAGCATTTGAATAAATGAATGCTCTGAAATATGCTTTGATCCTTTATTTATGGTCTTTGATCTTTAAGTGTAGTAAATAAATTTTAAAGTGTTCAAATAATTTTATTTTGTTAAAGTTTTCAAATTACATGTTTTCGTGTTCTGATATTTTAAAAAATTATTTTTATTAAACACTTCACATGCATAACTTACGGAAAGAAAAATTTTAAAAATTAGTAAAATATTAGAATTTTATGCATCAAGTTTAAGTTCATTCAGGTTTAAACACATTTCTTAAGATATTAATTTGGATATTTTCTGAATGAAATTTTTAAGTAAAGTAAAAAAAAAATTTTTATATAGCAACATGATATAGGAAACGAAAAAGTAAACAATGACCCACCCCCTCTATAAGTTGACCACTTGTCTAAGTTGACCACTAAAACAATGCACCACAAGTGGTCAACTTACACAAGTTTTACTGTATTTGATTGATCATATTTAAATGTAACATGTTCTTATAACTGAGGAATCATTTATTTATACTGGTCAAATGCTTACTTCCCCATATATTCTCCATGAAGCACAGAACTGCAAGTTGTACACTTAAAGCACCAAATGTGCCACTGTTTGTCAAGTGCTACAAGAGCTTGCCCTTCAAGTAGTTCTTCTTTACACCCACCACATTCTAGTTAAAGAGAATAATAAATTACAACTTAGTTACAGTAAAAAATGAAAAAATATAATAAAATGAAATATTGAATTTAACAGTAAACTCTCCGTTTTTAAAATACAAACAATGGAATTCAGTGTTATGAAAGCAAACGCCTGATTTGGAATAGAAATGCACTTAAAATCTAATTTTTTTTAAAAAATGTTATACGACTTATAAAAAGTTTTCTCAGAAAAACAAATGGCCAAATTTAATTATTATTAAGCAAAACCTTCATGAAATAAATATTAATTTATGATAAACCAAAGAAAAACAGGTAATAAGATAAAAATAAAATGACACAAAATTAATTCCAAACTCAGTCACTCAAATATCATATAAAGACTATTTTCTCAATTCATTAACTTTTGGGTCCTTAACGATCAAAAACAAAATATAGGTAAAACGTCATTACTGTCCTTATGTCCCCAACACAAATTTCTGAACTTCTTATGAATTAATTTACTATGTATTGAAATTGTTACAGAGATGAATGCATACATATTCTGAAATAGTATGATTGTCGAAACTAATATGCATAATCAATATTAGAATAATTTGCATATTTTGTTTAGCACATCACTTTGTATGTGTCCTTAACTTTTGTGTAATTACTGTCACAAATACAAAAAGAGTTAATAAAATATAATTTCCAGGTTACAAAAAACACTCTTCTCTACTGAACAATAAAGTTTAATTGCAGTAACGTTTCTTTTAAGGCCAATAAGCTTAATTTTACCTTTAAAAATCTGTGGGTGACTTTATTGAATATAATTGCTGCCCTTCTAATTTTCATCTAGGAAAGTGTTAGCGAGTAAAAAATTTTTGATTTGAGCAAAATGCAATTAGATACTTTTCTAAAATATGGCTAGTTTAATTAAAGAGGCAAAATAGTTTGCAATAGTATGGCTAGTTAGTAGAAGCTATTTGGCAAAAACTATTGTTTTGTAATTACTGTTCCTATATAATTAGTGTCCCTACCCAAAATGCACCTAAAAGAGACAGTAACTACTAAACAGTATATAATTACTTTACTGTTTGAAATACTTTTAATGTGTTTAATACATTTGGTTATGTTATTACATATTTAGTTTCTATTTTATCAGATTTCAAACAATTATAAAGGAACATTATTATTTAATATGAATATTGTTAGTAAACATAAGAATACGAAACTTCGAAACATAAGAGTTATGACTGTTATTAATATTATTGAGTTAAAGTTAAAATAATATACCTACAAGTATTTAGGTAAATATAAATAAATTTTGTTATGCGCTCTAACTGTAGTTTAAGAATTTCAAAATATTAACTTTGTAACATAAAACAGAATACCTGAAAAAAATTGTTTTGTATTTTTTATTTTAAATGTATTTTAATTTCTTTTTTTAAATTTTTAATTAGAAGTTTATATGACATTTTTATGTTCCTTTTTACTTTTATTAAGAATTGCATATTTTAGAAAGTCTACACTTTACGTTATAATTTTTAACACTTAAATTTTGTCATCTTCATTCTTTTGTCAGTTTTTATTTAAAAATTATAGAGTAGCGATGCGAATTTTATTACTTAATATAAAAAAAAATTTTTAGTATTAATAGAAATTTGCAATTTCAACTTTAATTACTTGTTAACATAGCTTAATTTTAGATTAATTGTATAAATATAGGTGTTAAAAAATCAAGAATAAAACTTCAACCCAAGTAAAAAGTTTACTGAAATTTTACTAGTCTGTTTGGATAAGAAGTGGTTGCATGCACAAGATAAACAAAAAATGAAATTGTCGTTTAAAAGCTGCCACCAGGGCCAATTTCTACCCACTTCTTAACCATAAACAGTCTAGATGAAGTATACATATTAGATTTCAAAATTAAAAACAAACAATATTTATTATGTTTTGAAATTATTATAGAGCATATGGTGCAGTTAAAAAAATATGTAACTTCACATTTTAAAAAAATGGTGCTTCTCCAGTTTATTGTCCCTTTTTGTAATTACTGCTTCTATGCACAAAAACAAATTTTAAAAATAGAAACAAAGTTTTGGTTTTAAATTATTACTAAGGTAATATAAAAATATAAGTGGTACAACGATGTTTTTGCAATGAAACAGTAAAAATTCTTATGAAAATTCTGACTATTTCTTCAAAATTCTAGATGTAATGTATTTTCTTAAGAAATGTTAATTAAATTTTCTATTAAATATATACAGTAGAGAACCGATTATCCGGAACGATCGGGACTATCGCTATTCCGGATAACTGATTTTTCCGGTTTTCTGAATCGCTACAAAAAGCCGTTTTTTTAGTGTTAAACCCAACTAAAAAAAAAAAAATATTTGGAAATAATCTTAAAAATAAGAAAAAACGATGAGGTAGTACACTAATGATTATTTCTGAAATGATGGTAAGGTAAACATCTTTCAAAAAAGAAAGAAAAATCCTAAAATCCTATGAGGAAAAAAAAAATTTTTTTTAAAAATTGCGGGAAAATTTATCGAATTTCGTTCCGGTTTCTTGGTTTTCCGGTTTTCTGATTTCCGGATAACGGGTTCTGCACTGTATATAAATTTGGAGAAATGAGTTGTACGATCTGAATAACTTTTGTTAACAAAGAATCATTTTAAATATATTTTCTTTACTAAATAATCTATCACAAAATTTAGAAAGTGTGGATAAAATATGCTAAACAAATGTTATAAAATAATGTTCTATAGAAAAAATAAAAAATTTAAAGTGCAATACAGTTAAATATTTAGGATGAATACAATGCAATAAAACATCCTAAAAAATTTTTTAATAGCTTTAACACTTTTTCATTATAATACCGCAAAAAAAAACATTTATGAGTATCTAACTCAAATTACATATGTTTGCTATTATACTTTTATGGGATAATAGTGAAATAGATATACTAACTCCTTATTAAATTCGTAGGAGATTCTGGTATTTCAGAAGGCAGGACAGGGATCAGTATACATTTAGAACAAAGACATTCTTTTCCTGTAAATGTAACTTTTTCTCCAGGAGGAAAAGGTTGACTGAAAAAAATATTCAAAATAGAAAACAGTATTTCAAAAAATTGAATTAAAAAATTTTATTTTCTTTAAACTCACCGACATCTTGCACATACAAAACACATTTGATGATATGTGTTTCCAAGAGCAGATACAACCTCTCCTTCAACAAATTTATTACAAGTACCACATTTGGTTCCAAACATCCTCTGATAATCAGCTGTACAATAGTATTTTCCATCTTTACAAAAGAAGCCTCCATGTGCCAAAGAAGAAGAGCATACTATGAAAGAACAAAACACAAATGCATAAAAATACTAAAAAATATCAAACTTATTTTAGCGTTTTGTTAGTTTTCAACAAGAAAATAACTATTTAACAAAAAAGATGGTATACAGAGAAAAATATAACTAAAAATGATATATTTGGATTACATATTTTTTTACTGTGAAGAGCAAATCTTATTTACATTTAATAAAAATGATACTATATAACTTTTAAACATAAAATATCGTAAATATTTTTATATGGATTAACTTTAAAAAACTTATACAATAAAAGTATTAAAAATATGTTTTTGTAAAATAGCAATTGACCAGTAGCATATTTAATTTAAACAAACTTTTTTTTTAAATATTTTAATAAAATAACTAGGTAAGATGGGTAGCTCCAGATAATAAATTACATATATTTATTTACATTTTACATTAATATATGTAATATAACAACAACATTTATAGTTATTTTGAATCATTTCCATGAAAAAACGCTATTCCAACTTCAAAAATTTCCACTGTCAACAAGTCAACGGCAAGGCATGCGTGTGGCCCCCGATACCTCGACGTAGCATTATTCGGCCACAAGACTTTTTATTATTTTTCTTGTTTTCATTTTGTCTAATTTAATTTTTGTACTCAGTCATTTTATTACTTTTTTTTGAATACCTAAATAATTCGATTTTCAAACTTCCTCAAATTAATGAACATTCTACAAGTTAGTCTAGAACCAAATTAGCTCTTGTGGCTACAATAATGTTGTGTGAATTTCACTAACATCAAATGCTAGATTTTGTGCCTTTCTACGATATTGTGTTCAATCTTTGATGTTGTGATTGATTTTGGATTAATGAACAGTAGAGAGCCAACAAATTTGTAAGTCCATTCCATTTTTTTTCATTACTCATATTGCCTTTATTTTTTTCAAATTAATTTTCGTCTGAAAGATTTAAATTATCCAGGTATTGTTCGGTAAGATTTCTTTGCTTTCTTACATAATAATTGTCTTTTCTCATACTTAATAACTTAATCTCTCACCCTAATACCTCGTATAATAATTATTGCGAGAAGCTCCAAAAGCTCTCTGTAATTCAATCACTCTTATTTGTTATTTTATAGTTATATGATAAACTTCCATTTGGCAGTGAAGAAATGTTGCTATAGCCTGTATAAAAATTTAATTAAAGGCTATAGCATACCATAATTTTATGACAAAAATTTGCTACATAAAATTTTTTTTATAGGATATTCAAATATGGTTTTACCTATGGTATAATTTTACTATATACTTTTCCCATATACTTATGGCAAAAATTTACCATATAGTAAAAAGTTGCCATACGCTTATGGCAAAAATTTCGCCTTTTGTTTATGGCAAAAGTGTATTACAAAATTTTACCATAGGCAAAACCACATAGGAATATCCTATGATTTTTTTTAAGCCTACAGCAAATTCTCCTAAGGGTATTTTTATTTCGATTCGCAATTTGTTTTTGTAAAATACTTAAATCAATCAAAGTTGTGAACTTTTGACTAAATATACAAAAAAAAAATACCCCTGCATGAGTATCATTATTAAAATTTATGGGAGTGGAGTACGCCTATGACAGTAACTGGATAACTCATTCTAAGATCAATAAAAAAAAACCTCCAAGATTGTCTTTAAACTTTATTAATCATTAGATCGGAGATATTACTACTTTTACACATCAGAAAGATTAACAAACAATGTTTAAAAAATCAACATAAAATTTTATCAGAAGGTATGAATTATTTTTAAAAAAATATTATATGTAAAAAAGAGAGAAAAAGCAGTTGAGAAATTGCCTTTTGCACAGTTTTTATATGAACGGTTTGATTAACATAAAGATTCAAGAGTGCACAAACCTAAGAGACATTTATGTAATCAGTAAAAAAACTACAGACTAATTCATACCCTGTAATTCACACTGTGTTAACATTTATAAATAAAAAGTATTAATTAAGAAGATATATTTCACAAGTATGTTCGATTCCTGATTGCAACTTGATGTCCATTGAGCTTTAGATTTATGGGTAACTGGGAAGTAAAGTCAGCTAGTAAGCAATGCTGACTACAAGTGCTCCATCATACCGTTGGTGGTAATAATTTCTGGAGCCTTTACCTCTCCCTGGCTCACAATGGGCTGTTGTAATAATGCTTTATCTTTTTTACTTCTTTATTTAGATAGTACTGCACTTGTTCGTTAAAAGTATACAATCTTCTAACTACTGCATTGTAAAAAAGATTTTTCAAAATTATATAAATTACTTTATTATCCAAATTAGTATCTTAATTTTTAATTTTCTTATTCAAATGACAATCATAATTTTTATTCAAAAAAATTTGCTTTTATCATACTTCTATTCTTTTTACAAACTTACAATTAAATTTTTTTTTAATGAACAGTTGTTAATTAATTGTGAAGTAAAGTACCTTACAACTATATCAGGGTCAATATATAAAAAAAGATACATTTTAAATGAAAAAATAATCCAAGTTTCCCAGAGGGAAGATAATCCCTATTTTGGGAAAAAAGGTAAATCACAAGAGGGAAATTCAGGATCTCACTCCCTTTCACTGAAAATTAATATGATTTTAATGAGTCGGACAAATGGAATCTTGGGGGGGGGGCTTCTTACTCGACAACTAATTAAACATCACACCTGTTACATCCAACAGCAATTCAACAGCTGGGCCAACAATCTTAAACAGAGATTGGATTACATTGATAAAAATGTCAGGCACATCACTCATTAAAGCAGCAGCAGACAATTAGGCAACCTGATCTTCTCCAGTTTTACAGAACTATCTTATAGAGTTTTAATTGATTCTAAATGAAGAAATTCAAGTTAGTCAAACCTGGGCGTATAAAATGATTCACTCGTGCTCAACTCTTGATGAAGACGCCTGGGTGCTCGAGCATTCTTTATCAGCTCAACGCAACGTTTCCTTACACACATTCCTTTATAAAATAAGCTTATTTAAATCCTCTCTATCTGCATTTACATTTTTGACATGCAGTTTAGAGCCACCCTGTATTTTATACACTGAAAGCCTTCAAATAAATTTTTCTATTCATGCTGGGTCTCTGTTATAGTTTTTTGCCATAGTTTCCAAGGACCCAGAGGGGAAATGAGCAAGTAAAGCTATCTGAAAAGAACTGCAAAAGCAATTCTGTAAGTTGGAGAGTAACATCGATTAAGGGACAGAGCTTTCTGGTCTTACAAAAGAAAACTCAGAAAAATTACATAGTCTAAGAAAGAGGAAAATGATCTATAAGTTTTTGGAACACTCATAAACATACCTACACATTTGAAGCAATCAACATGAAAATGCTTATTTTGCACTTTCAAAGCATTTCCAACACATTTCTTTTTGCAGTGTTCACATAAAACTTTCCCTGAAATTAAAAAGAAAACATTCAAGAAATTTAAAGTTGTAATATATATAGGAAAATAAGTAAAATTTATACATTTAGAATAAGAACAGTCAATAAGAAATCGAGAAATTAAAAAAAAAAACAAGTTAGTTTTATAATAATCGAAAACCTTTAAAATTATAAGATATAAACATGTCTACATCGTTTTGCACGGAAAAAAAATTTTAAAATACAAAGCTTGAATCAAATCAGACTGTCAGGACGAGTAGTTTAATGGTCAGGGCAGGCATCATGTTGGATGGCCGCACATCTCTCCAGGTCTTTGAAAGAGGCTCTGTGACTGGTGTGAGATATAAGGATGATGTCTAATAGCCCAACGTTCGCTTTTTCAAGGGTGCAGTTGGCCCTGAGATCATTTTAATGGACGATAACGCAAGACCACATAGAGCTCTTCTGGTGGATGAATTTCTAAAGAGTGAAGATATTCGCCAGATGGATTGGCCAGTGAGATCTCCAGGCCTAAATCCTATAAAGCATGTCTGGGATGCTCTGGGGAGGGAAATTGCAACTTTCCACCCCTCTCTGAGAACCATTCAGGGAATGAAAACAGCATTACTGAACGAGTGGGACCAATTGCCACAGTAAATGATAAATTGCCTTATTTCAAGTATGAAATCACACTGCAAGGCCTGTAAGAGAGGACCATTATCCCCTATAAACGCATTTTATTTGCTTATCCTGCAACCTCTGCTTCATACTTTATGACTCCAACAAGTGTTATGCACGATCATGTGTGTGTATTACAATTGTTGAATGGTTATTTGTTTCGTATTGTATCAATGCATGTACAGATCAAATTTCATTAAAATCGGTCCAGTAGTTCTAGATATAATTAACCAAATCTGCAAATTCTCTTAATTTCTTACACCAGTGTACATAATATTATAATATATAATAGCATAATATATATTATTATAATATGCAATATAAATCTATAAATATTATAGCAGAGAAAAATCCCCTACGAAAGGTTTCAGTGTCATCAATCAGCTACATTCCTTGAGCATTTAAGAAAAAAAATCTACAACTTGAAATGCTAGGATTTATACATTACATAAGACCTGATTTCAGGCTATTCATAAAATTCTCCTAATAAGACTAAAGTGAGTTTCTTAAAATCACAATATTCCTGCAAAGGAGAACATTGCGCTGAGATACTATTGCTGTAGTTGTTTCTAAAGCGACATGGCAATACCAGCAAGCCTGCTTGGTGAAACTAAGCAGGGAATTTAAGGCAAAGGGTGCGTTTCGTGTTTTTTTCGGTGGCGCCATCTATGATCAAGAATACGACTATTGTCACACACACGTCACTGCCCGATTACAGGACGAACTCATTCACATATAAATTTATTCATCCACAGATCGTAATTTTGACCTGAACCAGAGAATGATCAATCTCTAATTCAGTAACCCCAGAGGTATGATTTGTTATGGGAACAAGAAGGACTTTCTGACCAGACAGATTTAATAGGCATCAGTCACTACACGGAGAGTCTTCGGCCGGCAGTGGTCGAACTCAGGACCCTTTGGACATGGGTCCAACGCCTTACCAACCAGGCTATTTATAAGTCTTATATTTTTGTTTTAATAAATTATATGACAATTTAGTCCAATATTGTAAATAATACAGAGATTTGGCTCATGTATACCAGTATACTTGTATTAATATCATACAGTCCTGATGTCATTAGTATGGATATCATGAAGTTAATAGTAAGGAGATTTGGCCCATGGATATCAATACTAGCGTTGACATCAGTTTACGGTCTTGATGTTATACAGGCATCACAGTCCGGAGGTCATATTGACATATGGATATCATATGTGTGGGCCAAATCTCCGTACTGTTGATATCATGGTCACAATTTATTGGAGGATTACTTTGGTTGTTATTTGCAATAACTACAAGAAATTTCATAAAGTAGCTTAAATATTTATAGAGAAATTGACATTTTTATAATAAACAAATTTTCGTATTATGTTTTTTTTTAGCAATTTTTAATTAATAACAAAATTATTTAAAAATTTTAGACAGAAAATTTGTTTAAAATTGCGCAAGACATGGGCTTTTAAAGTAGTTCTTTTATACTACGCATGTGAGTAAAAAATTTAAAAAAGGTTTTCTTAATTTTGTAGTGAATCGTATTTAGAAACTAATGGAAAAAAAGTCAGTTTGAATTTCTTGAAAATTTATAAAGGTATCTAAGTAGCTTTTGTAATTTTTCTAAGAGAGCCCTGACTAATAAGTGGTTTTTCACAAATTTCATTTTGTACTATTAAACAAGATTTATTAAACATAACACCAGTCTTGAGGGTGATCATCTCTTACAAAAGTATGTTTTATTTCACACGTTTTCTTTCTTTATACCATGACATTGTAAGGTAATATTATTTGTTTTTAAATTTTGTCTCATAACACAAAATTAATTTTGTATAAAACCCCTTATTATTTAGAGCTTTCTTTTGAAAGACGTATTTTGAAAATTAGATTTCTCAAGAACTATTCGACCAATTTCGCACAAATTTTGTATTTTGCAATTTAAAATTGCATTCTTTAAAGTTATGTTAAAAATTGTATACCTTACAATTCAAATTTCTTTCGACTACTATTAAATAAAATAATAAAAAAATATATATAATAGTTATCATTTAGTTATATTTCGCATGAAATTATCTTTGGATAAACGAACTTTATAATCGAGTGTAAAAAGGTTCTCGAGATATGGCGAAATAATCAAAAAATGAAAAATAACATTGAGGGGTCCAAACTTTGGACTGCACTCCTGACCAAACGATAGGGACCATATTTCCCAGATTGCGACTACCTCCGATATTTTAGGGTGTCAGTAATCCGAATTCGTCGAAAAAAAGGATATGTTTATTTAGAGAAAGTAGATTTTTGTGTCTCATTTCGTAGCTTAAAATATCGTTTGCTAATTAATAAGTATATTTGAGTTAGAAATCAACCCCTTGAATCCTCGAATCTGAAGATTAGATCATCAGATTAAAAGTTATTTAGGTTATTAGGTTAAAAGTTAGATCATCAGATTAGGTTATTTAGGTTATAAAGTTATTTTTTTGAGCACTGTACAAAGTAAAACAATATCACCAAGTAATTATGGTGCAAATGTCAAGTTGTCAAGAACGCAGCCCTTAAATAACTAATGCTTAGTAAAAATAAAAATAATAAACACATAAATAAAATATGTGAAGGGAAAAGAACAGATGAATATCTTCCCACACTTACATAAGATTGTCTAGTAATAAATTTAGAAAAAAAATATCGGGGAACACAAATAGCATCGATAAAATACTTGTGAAGAGATGACGTCATAACGCTAGAAGCCAACAAAGTAAAGATGGTCTCATTAAAAAAGAAGGAAATGTTCCAAGTCAAAGTTGTTAATAAACAACGGAAGGTGCACATGGTGTACATGATTCATCAGCTTACAAATTCCATTTATTTCAGGAACAGTCTTATTACTGCAACTTTTTCGTTTCAATGAACATTCCCAAAAACTTTTTGTCATTTTCCGTTTTTACAACTTATTTGATGCCAAAATATTATTTCATAAAAAATTTATGCAAAATTTTTAAATCGCTTAAGTAAGAAATAACTTATATAATACTCTTGAACTGAAATTTTTTTTTTTTTAAAAATTAGAAAGTTCAAAAATTAAATTTTAGAATTAGACTGAGAAAAATCATATAATAATATTAATGCTTGAAATGAGTACACTAAATATAGATGAAATTAGTTTAAAATATCAGGCAACAGATATTAATTTTATTCATCTATTACTAATTTTTAAATCTTAAAATTTCACATATTTTTCAATTTAGTAGCGGTGACTCTCCAAAAGTATAGCTGATAAAAGAAACAATTTTGAAAATAAAATTTAAAATTTTAGCAACTAAGAAAAATTGGGTCAACTTCTGCTTAATATTCCATCAACTGAAACTAATTTTTCTGGTAAGCCATAAACATTTCTCATATATTCTCTATAGAATATCAACAAAATAAAAATATTAAAAACTGGTTAATAAGATATTAAAAGTGTTTTAAAATTTATATTTTTGCTCAATTAATGTCTTAAAGTTTTTTTTTTTTATACAGTAGGGGAGAGTGGGGTCAATTGTAACATTTTTTACTTAACTATTTTTAACTACCAAAAAATCCAATATATTATTAGTATTTATTGACAGACGAGTAAAGTAGACTATCCTCTACTAGAAAAAAAAATAAATACCTTATTTTAAATGTTATTATATTAGTTATTAACAATTTTTGACAGTCGTGCACTTGTTACAATTGTCCCCACTTACGGGGTCAATTGTAACAGTTCATAAATTCAACTAAAACATAGTTAATTATACATATTATCATAGTTGTGATATATTTTTTTATTGATCAAAATAGTAGTGATATTTTAGGAGTAAAAATAATAATGAGCAGAGACCTAAAGGGTTAAACTTTTAACTTTAAGGGGTTAAAAATTTTAATTTATGCTGTGAAAGGTGACAAATAAAATAATGCACATGCAACATAATATAAATGATATAGGAAACTATTGGTGGTTCTTAAAGAGTTAAGTAATGGTTTGTAAACATAAGATTATTTATTTTCAGCTGTTACAATCGTCCCTTTACTTATTGTTACAATTGTCCCCAAGACGCCATTTCAGCTTCATTTGTTAAAAACAATGCTAGTTAATTAGCAAAACTAATCATTTTTTTTTATTGAAATGTTAATTAAGGTGTCCACTTACATATTCGGTTAATAATTTTTATTTGTTTAAACAAAATTACTTTGTTACAATATAATATTCTAATACCAAAAAAAGTACTTACGTAGCGTGAAAATATCTTTTGTGATGTAACTCTTTCAAAAGTACATAAAAATGGTTGCCAGCAGGGGTGTACATGTAGATTTATTAAATACACCTTGTTCGCCACCTAGG